ATGCATTTTTCATGTAAGCCTCCTTTTTGGTACTTTTTCCTAAAACACTTTTTATTTTATTTTTGTAAAATTTATTAAACTCTCAAAAATTTAAGAGTTATAAATAGAACAAATAAGTAGTTATAAAAATAAAAACAAAAATAAAAAGAGGAAGGGATAAGAAAATGTGGGTTGCCTCCCACAAGCGCTTGTTTTAAGTCTTTGTAGCTCGACTCCTTTGTGTTCTTAGTTAGGTAGGATTGGTGGCTCCAAGAACTTCCTGTTGCCTGATGATTCCAAGTGCATCTTGTCCTGTAGAACTTCCTTGATCAAGTAGCCATGCGACTCTCCTCTTACTTGTGAGCACTCTCCTCCACTTGTGTAGCGAAATCGCTTGGATGAGAAACCGGGAGGTGCAGCATCGTAGAAGGTGTCCTTGTCAACATTGGCTAGAGAGATTCTTCTATTAGGCCAATCCATGATCGCTCCAGCTGTGGCTAGGAATGATCTTCCAAGCAAAAGCTTTAAGTCCTCCGGATCCTTCATGGTTACTACATAGAAGTTGGCTGGAACTATGCAGCCTCCAAAATCAAGCTGAATGTCTTTAACCTCTCCAAGTGGTTCGGTCAATGATGAATCAGCTAGCTTTAAATCCATTCGAGATTTCACAATTGAATTGATCAATCCCAACTTCTTGGCTATCTCGGCCGGCATAAGGTTCACACTAGAACCGGAATCGCAAAGAGCATCATCAAAGTAGCTTCCATTGATAGAGAAATGTATAAGGAAGTAACCTGGGTCATGAAGCTTGTGTAGAAACCTAGGTTTAGGCATCCCCTTTCTTGCTTCCTCGTACATCTTTTCCAATTCAGCTAGACTCCAATCTTGTGTCCAAGCTAGGTCTTGCATGAATGGACTCTTGTTGCAAGCATTATCAAACGGCACACCATAAGGGAATCTCCTCGCCATAAAGTTGAAATCATCTATGATCTCTTCAAGTGATGATCTTGTCTTCCTCTTCTCCTTGGTGGGAGGCGGTTGTGAAGACCTTTGAGTAAGGGTTCTTCCTTTTGGTGCTATCTTCTCTCTTGTTCCAGTGGTTAGCCTTGTGGCTCTTTCTTGATCAGCTCTACTTTCTTCTTCATCCCAAATCACTCTTGGGTCGGTCTCTCTTATAGTAAAGACGGGCGCGGCATGGTTGTGCTTAGGAACGGTCGTCTTTGCTCGGTCAAGACCTTCTCTTCCAAGTTGGCTAAGCGAGTGGTTAAATCCTTGACTTCCTTGGAGACTCCATCTACTTTGTCTTCAAGCCCTCTAGCTCTTCTTTGAATATCTTGGCTCCTCTTGTCTAGAGAGATGTGTAAATCTCGGATTTGTGCCTTCACTTGTTTTTGCCCTTCCACCAATGTAAGCATCGTCGAGTAACATTGCCTCTCCTTTAGTGTCACTTCGGCTACCTCCCTCTTAGCTTGATGAGCTACTGCTGTTATTGAATTGAGACTCTTGGTGGTGCCATCGAGGTTGTTATCAAGACTTGAGATCTTCTCATCTAAGTGATTGTCCATCTCCTTGGTAGAAACTTTGGTAAAGTGTATCGCTCTCCTATTGTCTTCAATGGCCTCGCCTTGCTTCTTCAAATCTTCCTCCATGTCCAAGCATCTTGACTCTACTCTCTCTATTTGGGTAGAGAGTTCTCCAAGTCTTCCATCTAGTTCGTATCGCGTGAACTCTAGCTTTGTCTCAATGTCGCGGCTAGTTTTCTTTGGCTCTCCATGAAACCCTCAAGCACGGCATCGAAATGGCTATCTCTCCGCCTATTGAGAACATGGTCGTGGTGTGAATGCAACACTGGTCTAGGTGGTTGATGATAAACCGGAGGTCGGTTTTGATGATGATGGTAATGATGCTCGTCTCGGCTAGGTCCTTCAAACGTCGGATGAGCGCGGTTGGGAGGGAACGGATGTGGCACGATGCTTACGGCTGGGTCTTGGTAACTCCGGCCGTGGAGATCGTGTGGGATCAGTGTCCGGTTCCCAAAGTGGATGTTGGTGTTGTGATTCATCTCCAAGTACCTATAAACACAAGATTTAAAAAGAAAAAGTTAGTATTCGAAAATACCAAGATCTAGACTTAGTTTTAAACAAGACTATGCAAGTGTTTATGATGCAATCCCCGGCAACGGCGCCAAAAACTTGATGCGGCATCTATGGGATGAGTACAAGTAATAATTCCCTAAGACAACTAGTGTTGCAAGTGCACAACATATAATTGTAGTATTTAGGGGTCGAACCACAAGGGATTGGATTTCACACATTACATAATCATAGAGTTTAAATGACTAAGCTAAATCAAAAGATGCAAGGGTTTGTGTTTGTTTAGAACACGCAAAAGAAATAACAATGCAATTCTATACAAGCAACATTATTGAACTATTGAAAACTCTTTTGAAAACATGAGCCAAGTCGATTGAAAAGTTTGTTAAAATCCGATTCTTTTGAACTCAAAACACTAAGGAAGGATTATTCCACTTTCGTGGTTCCAATCCCCTATGTCTCTTAAACCAATGGGCTCAGCTTTCGTTGGTCATTGTAGAGTGAGACATGCATTACATCCAAGTAATGATTGTTCACAAAACTCTTTAGGTCTACTTTCGTAGCCTAAAACGATTTGCCCATCAAATATTATGTCCGGAGATATAACAAGCTTTTGGAGAGTATATCAACCTAAAATCAAGTCACTAGTTAGCTACTCTAGCAACAAGCATTAAGCATAAATAAAGATGGAGAACCATAGGGTTTCCCCTTTTAACAATCGATTTTCGATGGCCATTATATCACGTCCTCATTGGAAGGATCCATAATTCAACAATGAGTCTTAGATAGTAGATGAAGTCTCATGAATCCTTAGAGAGAGAGGCGGCGGAATATAGACTAAACCACGCCTCACCCTTAGGGAGAAATCTCTACTTCTAGACTATATAAATTGAAACATGCAAGCTATATACAAATGCAAAAGAAGAAAAGAAAGAAGAAGGAGACCACCTAAGTGGCTCCGAACTTTATTGAATAAGTGTTTCTTGTTATGCGGCTGGTGATTCTTATTACAAGAGGCTAAAAGCAAGTATATATAGGTAGAGAGCGGGTCTAGGTCGGCAAAGTTGAGCGCGCGCAGAAGAGGAAAGTTTCCATTTCTCTTTAGCCGCTTGAGCTTGCTCTCCAAGTTCTTGAATGGGCCGCGTTCAGGCCAATGGAAGCTTCTGGATTGAGTTATGCTAGTGTCAAGACGAGCCAAGGCCTTGGGCGCGGTATCTCGGGCCTCTTGATCCATCAAAGTCTCCATGGGCTCTACTTAGGCGCTCGTCGGACATGTCTTGGTAGAAAATAAGTTCCGGTCCAACGAGTGATCCAAATGACCTCTTTCCACTTCGCCGCGGGTCATGACTCAAATATCTATCTTTCCATATAAGAAACATGACTTTTGGACGTCGGGAAGGCATGAACATGCGGTCGTACTTCGGATGCTCCGGTTTGGTCTTTAGCGAGAAATGTAGATTTGGTGCTCTAGACTTGGGAACTTGGTGATTTGACTCTTTTTGCTCCATTTTTGACTCTTCTTTGCTATTTTGACCTGAATGATGCTCAAAACCAGAATATACAAGAAAACTACCTCTTGGGCATAAAAATCACATTATTTGTATTAAAAACATAGTGAAAACCTTGATAAAAACATGAAAGATATGGGTATATCACCGTCCCAACGCCGCGGTCGACCCGAAGCCCTTTTTGAAGCCCAATTTATGTTTTCAAGCCCGGCTTAACCCTAAGCCGCCTCTAGAAAGACCTAGCACTATATATATAGCTTTTTAGCCTCTTGTGAAAGAGAGCCGCCTTGTATTACAATTTCATACTTTGAGTTTTATTGCAATCATGTTTTCTTCATCTCTTTGTGTTTTTGCTTTGATTATGTCTGAGTAATTCACTAGTTAGGTTGTGAGATCTATCAAAGAGTTCATGGTTTGATAGGTTGTTAGAAGTCACATAGGGTTTATCATATCGCATCTTCGCCTCTGCTTGAATTCATTGCTGCTTGCTTTTCTGATCAACTAGCATCAGATCTTAGGTTTCATATACTCTCCAAAAGCTTGCTATATAACCTGAACTAAGTATTTGGTGAGCAAAACTTCATAGACTGCGAAAGTTGATCTATGCGGGGTTGTGAACAATTGGGTCTTGAACGAACTATTGCTTGATTTAATCACCTAGGGACATACCAAAAGTTTAGCGACTAGGTAGATTAACAAAGGGGTCGGAGCCTCGACAGTGGAAAGATCATACAATCGTGACCTGAGTTCTAGATAGCGCAAACCCTAGAACCTTCTAATATCTTGTTAACCTTGAATCTCTGCGAGTTTCTCATTGCCTAGCGTTTCCCTTTATTGATTTTCATAAACCGTTTAATCTGTTTGATTTACTTGTTACACAATCAAAACCCTAAATCATACTTGTTTTCTAGCTATATTAGACTTGCAATACTCGAAGTGTACTTATCTGCTCCTTGTGTTCGATACCCGTTTACTACTTTTGATCTGTGCACTTGCAGAATCAGGGATAGGAAAAGGGAAGACCTGATCCCGCAATCAATCCTCAGCTTGCAAAGCGATCTGACCACGAGAGTGGCGGATTTATCCAAAGTCTAAGCACAAAGTTTGAGTCTTGGTGTTGTTGAGAAAGGAAAGTTGAGCTCGTTCGACCCCAACTGAATCTCACCCAAGACGCCTCCTTTATCTTATATTGTTAAAGTTCAAATCTTTATTTCATCTTGTTAGCTTAAAGCACAGATCTTTACAAAACAAAACTCAATCTTTTATCGAAACTTGATCTTTGCTTTTCTTTATTTCGATAAGTTTAGATCTCCACTTGGATTGATATCTCAAATACTACAATGACATGAGTGGTATGGATTGAGATTAGTTGATACAAAAATCCTACTTATCAGCCGTGCGTGAGCATTATGCCGGTTTTATGGACGTAGAGCGCATAGACGATTGGCAGTTCAGTGTCAAGTCTGGAGCAGGCTTGTACAATGTAGATTTGGAACTCCGAACATGCTCTTGTGGGGTGTTTGAAGTTGAGAAGATACCTTGCTCACACGCCATTGCTGCAATTAACGACGCGCGCTTACTTGTCTCTTCATACGTGAGTCCAGCGTACAATAAAAACACTGTACACGCTACCTATGCGCATCCGCTCTATCCTTCAGCATCAAACTTTTCATTCGTTAAAAAGGAACCTTGTCCCCCCGGAGCCTGCACCGGCCCTGGCAGGAAAAAGAAATCAAGGTGGCAAACTTGGTTAGAGTTGGCACGGAAGAGGAACAACAAACCGAGAAAGATGCCAAAGAAGTACACGTGTTCCAAGTGCAAATTACCAGGTCATACACGGCCAAAATGTGTAAGTATTTTGTAATACTAGATCTCCTTCACGCATATCATTTCTTGATTTTGAAATTCATGTCCTAATGGTAAACCATATATTTTCCGGATTGAAGACTGCTTCAGACTGAAGTCTGCAGATGAAGTCTACGCTAAGTCTTCATAAGAACTCCACAAGATCCATCGAGTCTCGTAGGTATTCTAAGTGTATGTTATTGTAAGTGTATTTGGGTTATATTCGGGGTATGCGTAATTTGCCAAATCTACTGACGTTTAAGATTTGAAATAGTATGGCATTCTCCAAATATGGTTTATCAAATATTTTCAATGACCAGAAATAGTGCAGAAAAGTGATACGGAAGTCTATAGACGAAGTTAACATACAAAGTTTACATTAGAAGTTAACATTAAACCCTTCCCAGAAATACCTTTACAAAACAAGTAGTAATATCGGAAGAGTACTTGTCCACCCATTTACACCGAAAACCCTGTTACTGATAGGTTTGGCCAAAAAAATACCTTAAACCAAAAGCCTACCCTCGTCAGCCTAAACCTGTACCTAATACATACATCCACCCACATCATCGACTCTGATTAGTCCAACTCCGCCCAGTCACGCTCCTTTGGTCCGCGAACCCCTGTCTCATGGAATAAGTCACCAGCGATTTTCAATCTAATGTCAGGTATGTTCGCGTGGCACAGCGTCTGCGGGAACTCCATACCAAGGGCGTGGCATTCAATGTACTTCAGCGTGAACACTCCGCAGTCATTGTGTTGCTCTGTTGTGGCACGATCTCTTGGCCGATTGGCCGGTCATAAGTAAACGGTTCCAGAGTCCACAAGTACTTCATGTCCTCGTCAACGCATGTCCTCATCAAATAGGGAAACATCACCGCCAATGGTTCTAAGAGTGCAGGTAACTCTTCCGGCTTCACGTGATGGGGTAGACTATCGTACACAGTGATATGCCTCTTCGGCAAGGAAATGAGCAGAGCTACCCAATGGTCAGTTTTCACGTTGAAAGGGACGTAAAGTTCGTCAATGTCGACCCCCCAAATCTTGTTTGTTGGCCGAGGCTCTGGTTGTGCACCTTTATAGTAATCCCACGATAGATTTGGTAGGGGCTTCCCTTCGCCCTTCTCGTTAGCCTCTACCAGCTTGAACTCCTCGTACTTTGCACTCCAGTAGTGCCCAAAGTATGTGTCCACAAAGCAGATACGATCACTTCTGAACCACTCTGGGTGATCCATCAAGCGTGCCCTCAGTAAATAAATTGCGGCGTTTATGTGCTGCATTGTCGAGAACATTGGATTAGATAACTTAATGAAAGTCTACAACTGAAGTTAAATATACTTTAGAAAGGGTAACAAACCGTGTCTTCCAGCCACTCCTTCTGATTCAGAAGGTCATACCACCAAAATCTTATGGGATACTCCTTGGCTGTTTTTATGGTCTTCCTCTTTCCTGAACCACTGGGAACAAATCATACAATGAGGTTATAAGCTTATCGTCAACATACTAAGTCTACTCACGAAGGCTACATATAAATATTCATGTGAAGTCAACTTACGGAAGCTTCTTGCAGTACTCTATGACGGCTTTCTTCGTCCCCTTGTCCAATGGCGCGAAGGGATCATATCCACGTCCTCTAGCTCCATCGTTAGGTACTATACGCTTCGCCGTACTATTACCAATGTAAACACCACCTTGTGACTCCGCTAGTGTCATGATCCTCTCTGTCCTCCGCCTTTTCGCATCCATATCTTGGCCGTGTCCTTCGGTTGCCTTCTTTTTAGATACTCGATCGTGTCTGCTTTCGACGGCGTAACTTGCCTCAGGAACTCGCAGCTGTCGTCCTTATCGTTGTCACTCTCGCAGGACTCGGCTGTCTGGTTCTACACCGACCGATAAACAGCAACAACGTAGCGTAATTATTAAGGGGTGTTAACATAGAAACAAGCGATTCAATGAGCAACAAGTCTACATGTAACGTATACATGTGAAGTCTACAAGTGAAGTCTACATGTGAAGTGTACATGTGAAATGTATATAATATGTTCGCACGCAAACACGAAACATGTAAGGGAGAGTTGCAATTAAACAAACAACAATCTTCATGACTACTTCGTCTTCTTCCTGCCTCTACCTCTACCCGCCTTATTGCTAGTTGGTTTAGGATTCTCAGTCATTTCATTTTTTTTTTTGGCAGCAATACGAGCAGATTTATTGCGAAAGGGATCATTACTAACCGGGGCAGCAGCTTCGGGAAGCTTCGGGAACATTAGAAGATTCGGGAACATTAGAAGCTTCCGGGAACCTTAGAAGGTTCGGGGACCTTAGCGTCTCGTGAACCTTTGCAGCACCGGCCGGCTCTTCTTCCTTTCCTTCTCCTCCAACAGCCTCGTTGGACTTGTCATGCTCCTTATCTGCTGTATCTTCCGATGAGCCCTGTCTAAGCTTCTCGACAGCAGACTCCAGCGAGGTCACCTGGTTGGTGAGGAGCTCGACCTTGTATTCGAGCCTATCGAACCGGTTGGTGATTTGACCTGACTGATACACAGTGAACTGATCAAACATTGCCTGCAATGCGGACTGGATTGTCCCCAAACCAGCGTCGGAGGACTGTCCTTCCATCCCATAGGCATGGCATGGTCTCTTCACGGACAGGTCATCTGAATCCAGCAGTCTCTTCCTGGGAAAACCCTTCTCTGCCTTCACGTTATCCAAAACCATTATTCCTTCGCGGATCCAGTCGGATGGCTTCCATCTCCACACTCCACCCAGCTCACCATACAAGGCCTTGATGACGTTATCGACGTCATCATCCTCCACGTCGTTGTCCCACCTAGGGTAAGCATCCTCCCTCTCACCATCACCATATGATTGTACTCAACCTGCGATCATAACGATGAATATGGGGATGTTATGATATAACTAAACCATTTCTTATTGAACTCATTACGTACCTGCGCAAGAAGTCGAGGCATTATATTCTTACGCCCTTTCATTCCCCTGAATGCCATCAAAGGCGGAGATTGCGGAGCGGCATAGGGATCACCGTATTCTTCGCCGAAGGTGGGCATAGCGTAGTAGGTCCACAGTTGAAGAACTTCAACAAACCCGCACAGAACGTAGTGCTTGCTGAGGTTGGCGCTTTTCACAGATTGAATGAGGTTCAAGAAGGCTACCCTCCCCCAAGGATAAGCCTCGAACTCTTCTAGGTCCATTACCAACTTTGCCATCCCCAGCGGCGTAGCAGTACTTTCCCTCGCTGCGATAATGAAACCAGCGTACACGGCTAAATAAGCCAGTCTCTTTTTGTCCTCCGCTGACCAGTCTTGGGCCCATCCGCATGCTCGGATTAGGTTATCAATTGAAGGACCACTGGTGAGAGGAACACCGAGTTTATGCCAAAACTCAGAGAACTCATCTTCATCAACGTCAGCACAGGAGGGGGTCTGGAGATTCTCCGTGTACTCGCAGTTCAAACCGGTTATGTGTGCAAACTCGTTTAACGAGAACCTTACAGGGTTGTGCCCAACCACACTCCATATCTCAAAGGGTTTCTTGCACGCTATTTGACATGTAAGGATACACTTCACAATCATTGATGCCCAATTGAAAGTCCTCCTCGCGAATCTGAAGAAGACACCGAGCGGAGATCCCTCGAGCTCAGCCCATTCATCGTCGGTGAAGAGAGCGACAAGACTCTCAAACAGCTTAGTGTTGTTGCTGTAGTATCCGATGCTCTTCTCGGATGCAGGCTCGGAACCTTTGCTGAAAAACCTTCTAGGAAATGACGGCTTCTCCATCCTGCAGCATTATTAGAAGTTTACAATGGAAGTCTACTGACGAAGTCTACAGTGAAGTCTACTGAAGGAAGTTCACCAGGAAATCTACAACCTAATTCATAAACCTAGGAATACAACCTAATTCTCCATACGATTGTAAGCGGGAATCGACTGTTTACCTTCGATTCGCTACCACAAGGGGGACTGGCCACAAACAGCGGCGGAGACGGAATGGTCAAGTATTACGACTGACGGCGGAGGAGGACGGATTACGGCGGCGGACGAAGTCAAAACAAAGAAAATGCGTGAGTAAGGAGGATTTGAGCCGATGTAAGTGAATAATATGTTTTCAAAACGAATGAGACGAGGGTCGCCGAGGAAAGTAACTTACTTCGGTACAAAAACGAGGGGAGGCAAAGGGCGATAATTGAATACGATTGCACGAACGAATACAGTCGGCGGAGTTATAGGCGTCCACGGCGTTTGAGTCGTCAGGAATCGTCCACGGCGTTTGAGTGGTCGGGAATCGCGTGGTCGATGAGAGAATATTTTTTAGGGTTGAAAGAAGTGAATGAAACCAAATGAGGAAAGTAAGTTAAATTTGGACCGGTGGGGAACGGTTATCAATGCGGTTATCAGGAGCGGTTACCGGTTATCGGGGCGGTTATCGGTTGGGTTATCGGTTATGGGTGCAGTTTTCGGTTCTCGGTGCGGTTATCGGTTATCACTGCGGTTATCGGTTCGGGATCGCGAAATAATTGGTAAAAACCCTAAATGTCAAAAACCCGCGAATTCTTCCCGCTTATTCCCGCTTTTCTAATTTCAATTTGTTGACTCCACCTTGACGTATACACATGAAGTCAACAAGGGAAGTCTCCTTAAACACGTTCCAGTTTCCGAATGTACACTCGTAGATTACATCTTAATATAAAAACTATACATTCGACGGTAACGTTGGTAATTTACATCTTAGATTAACATCTTGTTTACATCTTGTTTTAGTATGGTTATAGCAATAATACTGTACGGTCGTAGATTAACATCGTAGTAAACCACTTTCTTAAACCAATATTAACAGTCTACTTTAGAAGTCTACATTAGCACTCAACATTGGAAGTCATCATTTGTAGGCTGTTTAGACGAGAAAATGCAACAAATATTATACAGCCCGTTCTGGGTTTTACGTTTCTAGATCCAACGGGATCCTTCATTACATATCCGTAACATCTTTTCAAACATCAAGAACACAGAAAACACCTTAACTTATCTAAACATAATCATGCATCCGCAGGCTATGATGATGCCGGCGAGGAGGACGACAAGCGCAATGACGATGTGAAGTACCGCTCCCCTGTGACGCTTGTTCTCCGTAAGAGCTAGGCGTTTCAGTTCACCTAGCTCTGCCTCAATCCGATCAGCAACTCTCAGGACACGAACGCAATCTCCTTGGTTGTCAGTAGCACGTCGCAGGAGAACGAATTCCTCCATCATAGCCTCGTCCCACCACTTCACTAGATGCAGGTCACAACCCTATAAAAACGACATATGGGTCTCACGATACATAGAGATGCGTAGACATGAAACAAATGACAATTGATGGAACTTACCACCTTTCGATTGACCTTATAATCTTTGCATCCAAAGAACATTCTACCCGGATACTCATCTGTGCTGTCCATTGTTTTCATCATCGTCGGCAACCCACAATAGCATAAATTAGGAATTCCATAGTGTCGACTGGTGGAGCTCACATCTGCTTCGTCAGGGCTAATCAACCTAACAGAGCTGCTTGAAGGTTGACTGTAGCTGTAGCGCCCCATTCCTGTGTACGCCAAAACAGAACCCCATGCCCAAATTAGCTTACAACTATCAAAACAATAAATATTCCAACTATTGCATACTAAGGCTCACCCGTTACCGGTTTCCGTCGCAGATCTGGACACGAGAGTATGAGAGAGAAGCACGACCGACCCTTCCACGAACAAGAAATCAGATATTTAGTCTCTGTATAGAAGAAACGACATGATGACAATTCAAGAAAAAGAATTCGTCGCCCGCTTACCACAAATACGACGACAACGACGACTGGGGAGGGGACCAGAGAGAGAAGCTGCGCCGTCTTAGAGAGAGAAGCTGCGCCGTCTTAGAGAGAGATTCGTTTCCGCAGATTTAACAAAATTAGGGTTACGCTCTCTATATATATGAAGGTCGGTAATCCCGGTTTAGTTTAAAATTCCGGTTATGTAGACTTCGTTGTGAAGTCTACATGTTCCGTCTACTTAAGAAGTCTTCCAACCCTAAACCCTATCAAAATTTTACACAAAGAAACTTATGGAATAAAATAGTTTTCGTTGAATATACACAAATTACATTATAATCAACACATATATGAACATTAAATGACTATACAACGATAAACTTGGTTTTCAAAAAATATTTGGCTAAACCCTAACAACTTATACTACCAAGCCCTATACTTCAAACCTAAACTCTATCCTTGATGGACCAAATACTCATGAAACTTATAAACTTATACATTTTCATGAGTTTGTATTTTATATATATGAACATTGTATTTACTTAGATTAATAACAAAAATTTGTTAGCAAAATATTTTTTATAAATTTTAAAATTAAAATTTAAGATTTCGTAAAAGTAGACTTCATGAGTAGACTTCTCTCCAAATTTATAGGTTTGTGGCATGCTTTGCCTTTGTGTATTTAGACTAATACATTTTCAAGCAAAAATATTTTTAATAGATGCTAAATAACAAGGTCTTTTTTATGTATAATGTTTTTGGTTTAAATATTTTTCTTTAATTTTATAATTTAAATTTAAGATCTTAAGGCGTTGTAGACTTCGTTTTGAAGTCTACTTTAAGTTGACGTCTTACGTAGACTTCAACACCATGGGTAAATTGGTAATTGCGTCGCTCGTTTATTGTTTGTTCGTAGAAGATAAAAGGGTCATTAACCACCCCTTGGGGTATACCAATTGTCAAACATGTCATATGGGTATACTGTTACCTAAAAAAACAATGTTTGGGTATACCAATGGTAATTCCCCCAAAATCTATAAATTAATACTTGATAAATTGATAACTCGATAAATCAATAGAATTTTCCGATTCCAAACTAAGTTTTTGATTCAAATTATCTCCCGATAAATTAATAATTCATTAAATTAATAAAATATCATAGTCCCAACATTATTAATTAATAGAGTTTCTACTGTAGTTTTGTAAGATTATTACAGAAATAAACAAATATTATTTATCTAAATTAAATAAATTAGTTAAATTGATGGAATAGTTTCAAAAGTAATATTTGGATTGAAGTCAAATGCAAATGTAACCTACATTTTCTTCCTTTTATTTGGTTTATTATTATATTACTTAATAAAATCTATACTCTTATAAACAAATAAAAGTAGCAGAAAATAGCAAATTAGTTTTTTAAATACATTTTTTAAAGATATTTGTTTTTCGTACTTCCATTATGCATTATGAATTGATATTAGTAGATTAAATAAAATTATTAACACATATCCGCATGTAGTGCAGGTTAAAAACTTAGTATAAGAAAGAGGAGAGGAAGAAGTTGCATTGTAACATCCGTAGCACTTTTTCTGGGCTTTTTGCAGGTTGCGTCGGACGACGCAAGGTGTGCGATCGACCCAACAATTGCAAAATTGACCCGGTTTATTTTAATTGGTCCGGTTTAGCTGGTATCGCGAATTAAAAAGGGAGCAGCCGTCTCTTTTGTCGTTTTTTGGACGTGAACAGTAGCAGAGAAGAGCAAGGAGGCGATTGTGGTGTTTCGTGGTGTTCTTGGCTGAATCAGAGGTCGTTTGTAGCTGTTCTTCGTTGCTTCATCTCTCTTTTCTCTTTCAATCCATTTTAGAGGTGAGTGTGTGACTATAGGCTCGTGAATCACTAGAAATTGAATTTATTTGTTGAACCGAGTTAAATTGATTTGAGTTATTTAATTTATTTTTTAAAGATTTCTGCTGAGTATTGATAACTTGAATGGATTTAGTTAAAGAAACAATAAAAAGCTTGGTTGTTTCATACAAAAAAAAAAGAACGTGAATAGGTGGATTTATATTCATCATTAACTGCTGTTATTGAGATCGCAAAAAAAAAAAAAAAAAAAAAAACTACCGCGATAATCTCGACCGTCCGATTTTTCAGATCTCAATAACTTGAACACGCCGAGTAGATGATGTGACGTGATGTGGGGCCTAGAAGACAACTGCACAAACCTTCCTTCTCCTTGGAGACGAACCGTAATCGTTTTGAATATTTTCAATACGTCACATATGCTTCCGAGAAGATTGATTTTGCGAGATTGCAGTAAATTGACAAGATTTACACACTCAATCCCAACTGTCTGTCTTGAGTAAGTAGCCGGACTCTATCTTTATATTGACGTAAAACTTAAATACTTTAAATGGGATGTCAACAGTGTGATCTTATTGATATTTCATCCCAACTAAACTGCAACCAATGAGTTCGAATATACCCACAATCCTGGTATTTTATCCAGCTCGGTAGGATGCTGAGTTTTTCGAAAAAGAACTTAACCGCTCCTTAAGTTCGAAAATCACTTAAAGGGATAGGGGGCAATTGTTGGACTTAGATTTCACACATAAAATCCACCCTATTAGGGCCCATTACTATGATCCAGAATTTAACGCCGAAACCCACTTAAACCGAGAAGGATGATCTTGAGCCCACCAAGTATCTTCATCCAAGCCCAGCTAAACATTATCCGAGTTATTCCAAGTAGTGTAGTCAAGTTCCAGCTCGACTAAGGACCATGTCTTTTGGATAATCAGAACGAGTCAACCGAGGATCACACTTAATCCAATCGGGTCCGAATCATCGGGATTTGCACATCGAGATTTGCAGTTACACGTGGCAAGATACGTGGAGGAGGTTCATCTCAACTTCGAGAGCTATAATAGGAGCAAGACATCAGTTTGGAATGGATCTGATTTTTACATCCGAAAACACTTATAATCTTTCCAGATTACTCTTAGAAAGCCCATGTATTTTTCCTTTGAGTTCATTTATTTTTTCTTTAGAAATTTCTAGTAACCGTTTCATTCGAATACAAATCCCTTTGGTCAAACACTTTTGTGCATTCATTTGACTTACAAGAGGATATAACCCTAAATCTCCATACAATTTCTTATTCATATTGAATCAAGTCAAATGTAGTTACATATATAGCCATCATAGAGGAGAGCTAGAGGATACATTGTCAATTTGTCATCTCGCCTCATTGATCTTGACTCCAGCCATTGGCTTAAAGTCGCTGTCTTTGGGGGTCACAAAACTCGTGGAGTAGGACGAAGTAGCAGAAGCGCCTATGTCTTTAGTTTGAAAGACGTTGAAAGATGATTTTGAGGTGTCATCAAAACTCCAGTCGGTTAGGTAGCCTGGCTTAGAGGTGACAGCACTGACCTCAACGTCTCCTGAAAGCATGGCCACTACTCTTGACATGGGTGGTCTCGAGGAATAAGATGATTGTGTGCACAAGAGAGCAATGCCTATCATGCGTTTCACTTCTTCCATGTTGAATTCACTCAACTCGCTATCTATTAGTTCTACTTCCTGGCTTTTCTCGTGTAGGTTCCATGCCTGTATTGTATTTGTATACACCACCACAATTGAGGTCCACGATTAATATTAATAGATTAGATATCATGTTTTCTTGAGTAACAAGCAAGGACGTATATATGTACCCATTCAAGAAGATATCTTTGCTCACCCTCCAGCTTCACATCAGAGTTTTTCCTTCCACTGATAAGCTCAAGAGCCACGATGCCAAAGGCATACACATCCGTTTTCTCGGTTAGGTGTCCACGCATGGCATACTCTGGCGCTAGGTATCCACTTTTTTTGCATGCATTTTTTCAAACAACATCATAAGTTAACATGTGTTATAAATATACATTAATTAATTAATGTTACAAATGAAGAAGGAAAAAGTTGAGGAGACGTTTTACATGGTTCCTGCCACTTTGGTACTCATGTGGGTTTGCTTGTCATCGTAAAGTTTGGCAAGCCCGAAATCAGAAACTTTTGGGACCAGATTAGAGTCAAGCAAAATGTTGCTGGCCTTCACATCCCGGTGTACTATGCGAACACTCGCCTCCTCGTGGAGGTAGGCAAGACCTCTGGCTACTCCCATGCATATCTCAAAACGGGTCGACCAATCAAGATTTAAAGTCTTATCTCCTCCTG